ACTCTGAAAGTAAGTCTCCAAAGTGTTCGATCCTTAGTGTATATAAGTGTACATAGTTTCACACATTCAATTAGGGCGATCATGAGAAATACGCCTGATAGTCGTTGCCACACATACAAATGTTACATAGGAAAGAAAACAGTTCACACAGCAAGTGAAAACATTGTTCTGGTTAAATTTAAAGAAGATTTAATTTCAGTTTTATGTCACAATATGCTTTCTCATTGTAATGCATGTTTTCAAATAACATGGGGAGGGATGTAGTATTCTAAGATACCATAGAATGCGGAATCAGAAATGAGCTGCTAGATTCAGCAGCATAAGAATACACGTGAATAATGGAAGCTGAATAAAGTACCATGTTGAGTTCAAACTTGATTCATCTGCTTGTCTTATTCGAGTTATCTCACATACACATCTAACAGTAGCAACCATGTTAGTATGTTACAGACGTAAGTTTTGTAATGGCCCCAAACTTTGCATCAGGTTTCTTTGCAATTTATACTTGGTACATACCTGTGCTTCCATTCTTCTGACAACAGATGAGAAATTGTTTTAAAAGTGTTATTCTCAATATTTCAAGCAAAAAGTTTGATAGACATGGGAGTACAGAATTGCAGACACAAAACTTTCCCACCGTTGATCTAATATGATCAAACCATAAATGAACAATAAGATATTTCTAATGTGCTCTGCAGGGGGTAGAGCATTTTGAAAAGAAATATCTTGCTCTTTCTCTCTCTCTCTCTCTCTCTCTCTCTCTCTCTCAGGTGTTCTGCCAAAGGCAAGTCCACACACCAGAGCCTTCTTTAGTTCCTTCTTCATCCCTCTCTATCTTTAGCCTTCTCCTTCATAATGTTCCTCTAGTAAGTCTGACACTATCCCAAATCCTGGTCTTCCATTTCCCCGTTTTCCATCCATCTTCCCTTCCAATTTGTCCCTGAGCAAGTTATCCCTCATAAGATGTGTCCTATCCAGTTTTTCTTCCATTTCCAAATTGTTTTTCCCAAGCTCCTTTGCATTCACACTATCCAGCACTTCTTTGTTAGTGACCCTATCCGGCCTCCAACTAATTGCTTCCATTCTTATCCACAGCCACAGAGTTTCTATCTGGCTATCATTTATTTAATTAGAACAAATTTTTCTCCTTTTGGCATTAATTGTCAAATATAATGCTGTTTATATGGGCATTCTTTGATTTGTCATTTTTTGGTAGAGTGAATAGAAATTCACCTGTGAATCATCAGTTAAAGGGTACCAACCACTACAAGATACTTAAAAAAAGAAAAAAATGCTTTGCAATTGCAAACATGCTACTTCAGGTATCAACAGATAATTGTTGATGGCTGGTCACACCAGCAATCCCTGTAAGGAGATTCCTAAATAAGCCAATCAAAGTGGTTTGCGGCTGCTCAGATGATATGTGTGATTCACTAGTTTATTTATATAAAAGAAGTAACTATATATTCCTAACACATGTAACATATGAAATTTGTAGAGCTCTTCATTATTACTCTGTAGTGTTAGGCGATCCATGCTGCGACACTATATTTAAAATATAAGCTGCAAATATTACTTCTATTAAAAACATATAAAAGTACTTTAAATACACTCTGGATAAAAGTAAACAATTTGTGGGTATAGACTAGTCAATGAATTGGTCTGAATTGGTTGCGGGTATATGATTTTTATGTCAATACAAAGCAGTTAAGAAGATGAAAAATTGTGAATTGAAGCCACTTGCTTCTGTCCATGGAAACAGCAAACAAGGGGGAACATTGATATTGTCAGCTGCTCATCACTTTATTCTTTCAAGTCAAAGTTGAAACAATATTTGATCTCATATCCAACTCTTAAGATTTAGTTTGTACGGTGTTTCTTTCTATTTTTCTCACTATTTCTTTCCTGTATATCATTCATTTCCTCTTTATATTGTATTTCTTGGTACCACCAACCCACTACTACTCACCCCACACATAGATTTGCATGTACATGTATATGTTTTGTATGTGTTATTGTTTAATTAAAAAAAAACTATTGTATTTTGATATTGTAACTTTAAGCAGGGGATGATCCCAGATAAACCTCCGTGGTTTTTGATCAACCCCTCTTTGCAGGTTCATCTTTTGTTGTAATACTTTTATATTTGATTGTAATTTATACTGTCTTTTATGAATCTGTGGAAATAAATGAAATTGAAATTGAATTGAAAAACATATATTACAATCATCATGTTGCCCATTTGAAGACAGAGTTAATATTCACATGCAATGATACAATGACAACTTTTTTTTACAGAGAATCGTACATCAAATTTAAGTTATTAATGTGTACTCTTTTATAAACAGATTTCAAATCAAATACAGCAATATATACAAAGTAGGAATAACATTGCACAACAACGCAATGGAAAGTGAGGGGGATATTTAAAGGACAGACCAGATAAAGCTTAGGATTCAGATTCATTGGCAGTCAAAAGTTTGGAGATATAAATAAACACTGAAATTTAGAATAGCAACATAAAGTTCAGCTTATTCAAATAAAAACTATAGTTTGCATTTTTAAACAGTGCATCATCTTCAAGTAGGCTATATACTTGCAGATTTTATTGCACTGTGATCATGCACACTGAAAATGGCACTCTTTCTTGACAGGGATTGTCGTACAGCCAGTACACAAGGTACACAAAGCACTCAAATGCCTGTGAGTGGTGTACTGCTGCCATGGCAACAGCAGTGTAATTGCTTGACATGATAATGGATATATGCACTGCTAGGTGCATGGCCTTGGAACCACTCAGGTATGAAAGCAATATGACAGGTGCATGGAGCATATATAGGCATTATTGAATCAGTAGTACTTGCAGGTTTCTTGATATACCGGTAATCATAGCCCTTACCCTAACCCTAACCCTACCTGATGCACAAGGTATCCAAATTTATGTTAATTAGCTGTCTCAGCTGCAGTACATTGTGGATATTTATAGAAACATGCCTCGATCTAAGACTGATTATGAATGCTTACCAGGTGGTGCCCAGGTAGTATTCAAGAACTATAGAGGGCAGTATGCATTTCCATTCAATGAGTCAGTTTGACTTGTGATTGCTTGTGTAAGATTTTCTTTGGGAGATAACCATATTGGGCCTACAGTCACTGCATGTACAGGTATCTACCGGTAATATCGTTTTAGAGGCTCATATTTTACACACAAAGATGAATACCTAAAATACGGTCCTATGTAACATTACACATGTATATGAAAGTAAATACCGGTACATGCACAAGATGAATTTTCAACTATTCATTGTAACCTTCTTGGATTCGTATTTTGTAATTACTTGTGAATTGAGGTCTTTGAGGATAATCAAAAATTGCAAGAAATCGATTTGATTTGAGTTTTTATAATAAAATACCTATGTCTATCAAATACCACATTTTACCTGTCAATAAAGACTAGAATTTACTCTAAGTACATGTACTTACAGTATACATTTATATGTAGCTGGCTGACAAAAGTAAATTCTTACAAGATTTTAGATAAATACAGAGTTGCCTTTTTCTGGTGATATTAGTATTAAAGAAAAGATTATTATAGTAAAGATAGATAAATCCTCCAAGCTAGATTAACTAAAATTAATATTTTCATCATAATTGTCACATTAGTATCTCATATCATGGATTAGTTTATGACCTTATATGCAAGTACTATGTTCACTACGTGAGCCTTCTATGGGCAAAACAATATTCTGTGAAGGTACACAAATCAAATAACATGAAATGAATATACCGTAATACATACAAAATACAAATACATATTAACATATTTAACATCCTTAAATTCTCTTTGTCCAATAATGAACAATGTCAATGTCAATGAACAATGTAGACTCCTGAACATCAATCCATGTAAACAATTACATAACAGTAGAGATATGTTGGGGTCTAGTGGATAAGTCACCAGACTGTAGATCAGAAGGTAGGGGGTTCCCATCCCAGCCTGGCACTAATGTCCTTTGGCAAGACATTAATCTATATTTGCCACTCTCCACCCAGGTGTAAATGGGTACCTGATATGCTTGAGCACTAGTTACTTTGGCAGCTTGGTTTAATAATGTCAAGGCACCATAAGCATCACTGCATAACAGATATTATTTGAGTTAAGTGCTGCTTGAAACCTTACACCGATTAAGTGAACTGATTCTGTTTGTTCTTTATGACTTGAGTCTTTAGTACACCCCAAAATATCCTATCTTACCCCCCCCCCCCCCTCCTCCTCCTCCTCCTCCTCCTTACTGAGATGAATTAGAGTATGACAGTTAAATAATTAATTTGGGGACTTTGGATTCTAGCTGTACTTCATAGATCTGTATAGAACAGGCACAATATAGCATGCCAACATGCTGTGACAATGATTTGTGCTATCCTCATGAATTTATCCTTCTAAAGAAATTCTGTTTTCAGGATGAATGTGCATGTACATGTAACTGCTTTGTGTATATAATACAGCTAGCATGTGAGTTGTTACACACATCATTATTTATTATTCATTACATTGTATTCTAAATATCTATGCCGTCGACTATTAAAAATGTGAACACTGTGTGACTAAAAATATATATTTTGATTTTGTTTTGCCCCTCTTTGTAAACAGTTTTAAAAGCTCAAATTTTCTTTACTGATCAAATAAAATAATAACAAAAACAATATCCGTATGAATGAATTACAGCTTGGTTTCATTATAAAACATATGTACCATATAAAAATGTTCTTACAGTAACTTGTTTTTTTTTTTTAATGGGCATTCCCAACAGAAGCCATATGCTTTCCATGTTTTCGCCTCCTATTTTTAAAATTATTTACTGATACTGATCTCTCTCTGTTTACCTTTTTATCAATAATTAAAAGGGGGAAAAAAATGTGAATTTCAGTTTCGAATTCCATAAAACATGTCAATTAGAACACATAAAACCCTTGTCACATTGATATTGATATATACTTACCCTACTGTCTTGATGAACAGCCATTTTTCGTCTACTGTCTTGACTTAATTTGAAAATCACTCAACATATGCCACACATGGCAATGAAGTAGAAGCCTTGCAACCGCTAATCAGTTCTTATCCAGTCTATATCCAGCTCAAGCTTAGACAGAGTTGACAACTTATTGCACTTTTGTTACTCCAGATAACCTCTAATACCTATGATGTACTTAAAATACTTCCATGAATAGTCAATATAAACAACAAGTTCCAAACCATGAGGAACGCACTTCCATTCAAGATGTACATAAACAGCATTGAATCTAGCCGCTGAATCTGTTCCAAAACAGTCCTCAATATTAAAAAAAGTTCAAAAGTATCTTAAAATAAATCCAAAGTGGAATTCCACATGACTTCAATTGTAGAAATAATTCAAGCAATATGTCCACACACCAAGTAAACAGTAGATATTGATTGTATGGACCGCAACCACAATCGTTTGAATGGCCCATCAAAAGCAACCTCTTTTCAATTACTTACAGTAACCTACACAAGCAGTGCTTTGAAACGATCACAAGCCTCTGGATCAATAATCAGGAAGACTCAACAATGCCCTGTCCTTAATGGTCTTTGAACCAACAGAATAGCAGATGACCAAGGATAGCTCCCCCCCCCCCCCAATTGTTATTAACCATACAAAGTTTTTACAAAGGAGATAGGAAGACCTACACTGTATATGATCCAATTTTAAGGGTCTGATGTATAGTCAATCACTTTCAGGCAGAAATAGATTAAAAAGACATAATGAACTGTCCTTAATGGTCTTTGAACCAACAGAATAGCAGATGACCAAGGATAGCTCCCCCCAATTGTTATTAACCATACAAAGTCTTTACAAAGGAGATAGGAAGACCTACATGTGTATATGATCCAATTTTAAGGGTCTGATGAATAGTCAATCACTTTCAGGCAGAAATAGATTAAAAAGACATTTAATGCATTTCCCAAATGGTGAGACTACTCTGAAGTGACTTCCTAATGGCATGGTGCAAGAAGTGTTAGCCATGTAAAAAGAATGCTAAGATTAAGCCACGTTATCTAGCTGAGCACTTAAAACTAACTGATCTGGTTTGAATTAACGATGGAAGATTAGATCCAATCTTTTGTGTGCATGCCCTTTACAAGTGCTTCAGCCCTATAAAATCCTTTTTATAGGGTGACCAATGGATTTCTTAGACACTTACAATAACATCTAGAGTAGGTATAACAGTAAATCGGCTGAAAGTGTGCTTATGGAAATGGGAGGGGGGGGGGGGGGTCATGAAGGATTACAGTATTAACATACCATGAATACTGCAAACAGTGTGCAATTTTTCACTGGCTCTTAACAAACACAAAGAAAAACAAAACCACTCACTCAAACATACACATTTCTGGTGTAAATCAAGGACTCGTAATATTCACTTCAGTATGTTACTCCATATTTGAGTGAACACATTTTTGTAAACATGTAACATCCAGGGACAATCTGAAAATTTACTGCATATAAACTGAGACCTACTTTTGTGTGCAAATAGAGCACCTAAATAAATGTACCCAATCTGAATGAGCTTCTAATTTTAAACAAATTTAATACAGGGTTATTTAACCGAAGACATCCTTGTTATGCGAGTGGTCCTCGATAACCACCCACACACCCAAGTGAATATACAAATAACAAGGGATATAGTGATGTGCATTGTACTGAGAAGAAACAAAAATATATACAAAATAACATGGCATTACCTGGAACACAATTCTTATACTTGTCCAAACAATGCACGATATTTTACAGATATCTTTCTACACATATTAATGATAATTTTTCCAATTATATTGTGTTTTTCACACCCAAAAGTAAATGATGATACATACCTTCTGCTTGATCTTTTCCTTCTCATCTTCACTGGTCTTCATGCGGTATTTCATTGTGGTCAGCTCTTGTTCCAACTTACGTTTAGACTCTCTTAGCTGAGCATCATCACCTGAACTACTCTGCAATCTTTCATCTACAGTGGGACAGACAGACAGACAGACAGAAATACAAAGAAAGAAAGATAGGTGATAACTGTCAAAATATTAGGGGGAAATTTGTCGAAGTATAAAAGACAATTTATAAAAGCAAATGTGTCTCCAATATGCCTACACTGCCAGTCTTAAGAACCATTACCGGTACATGATTGATCAGAATAGAGTACATATTATGAGATACATTTGACTTCACAAATGGTAACAATATTAAATGGTTCACTAAGGAGCCAGTTCTAATCACCAGTGGCCAATAAGGAGAAGCATACCACTGTGCTTCCAATTTCAATTTAATCTAAAATTTATTCTATGAATGCAAATCATAAAATCCTATTACAAAAATTCTTACATTTACAATGAAATACATTTGTAAAATAAGTGGAATGATAGAAATAAGTTAATTTGTAAACTTTAAACGCATTTAAAGAACAATAAAGCAAATGCCTGTGTTTCAGAATGTATCCAGCTAGGCTACACAGGTCTATTCCCACTATCTTCAAATTTAATACTAGTGAGAAATATTTCATCCAGATTTTCATAACTCATACATGCCCCCTGGGACTTTATTATGGGTTCATTACCCATACTACTGCATTTGACTGATTATAGCTTTTAAAAAGCAAGAGAAAATGTTAACGCACCAGCCTTTTGTGGACCCTTTCCACCTCTTTGTGATGCACTTCCTTTTCTTTCTCCAGTCTGTTCTTGCTCATCTTTAGTTCTACCTCCAGCTCCTTCACTCGCTGCATCTGCTGTCTACGCTCCTGCTCCAGGTGATCCTTCTCTTTCTCCAGTTTACCAATCCTATCTTTCTGAAACTGACATGACAATGAGAATATTTGCTCAAAATTTGGTGGGGTTAAGTATGGCAGAACTATTCCTTTAATAATAATTTTAATCTTTTAAATTATAAAGTGAGCAACTCCAAGATCAACACTAATCATGTCCAACAAAAAAGTTTGATTCAAAATAGTAAAAAAAAATATAAACAACTACAAGTATATCCATGCTAAAACTTCAAGTATATTGATGTCTTTAATTGGAAAATTCAATGGACTATTCCAGTAAACTCTTTGAAGGCCTATCCTACCCTTGTAATAAGTTCATTTGAATGAAAGCAGAGAAATCACAGGAACAGAATAGCAAATGTTTGTAATAAATTGAACCAATAACAAGAAAGTTATGAATGTTTGAAATATGAGATCACTACAGCTGTGCAAATCTCAAATTCACAATTTTGTCAGTGGATCGTGACCTAGGGACGGATAACTCCCTTGTTTGTTGTGTACAAAAATATCTCTAATTTCTGTTTTTTTCCCCAAGTGCCTTCAAGTACCCATCTTCCTTCTTCTGCACTGGGCCCCATTTCACAAAACATGTCATCAGTGACAATTGTTGGTTTTTGATTTAAGCTAGTGAAATCCTTGCTTCTGATTGGTTATCAGCAGATTTGTCACTGATTTTTGTCATTTTTCATTGAAAAAAGGCTTTGTGAAACGGGTCCCAGATGTCTCAATGAAGGAGTAATATTAATGGTTCACATATATTATGAAAGAAACCCGACTTGCTGAACAATCTAATAATAAGATGATAAAATCATTGAAGGTGGCTCCCTAGTCCAATTGTTGAGGTGGGACCTAAAACAATTACCAGTGGGAGTGATTAGGGAAAGATTTATTGTTACCATTATTGGCATCATTATCATTCAGGTAGAACCAGCACTCTAAAATACATACCGGTACTCAAAAAATACTAAATATCATGAACACTTCCATAACAAAATTGCTCTTCATCAAGTTTGTCAGGTGCTTGCCTGGGACAGCAACAAGGAATGAATGCCAGATTTATTCTTAAAGAGAAGATGTTAACAGGTGAATCAAAAAATAATTAACTGGCCTCTAAGGGTTTGGATATTGGATCATCCATAACTAGGAAAGATTAGATAAAAAGTTATTTACCTGTTCTAGCTGATTTTTTGCCGATCCATTGGTGAGTGATTTCCTTCTCTCTGTGGCTATGTTATCAGAGAGACGGGTCCTCTCCACTAGAAAGTAAGCTATAGCCTCACTGGCTGTACTCTTGGCTAGGTCTTCAAAGCCCTCCTGTGGAGTAAAGATTCACCATGTCAGGTGCAGTGTCAAGCTGCATATCATCTCCCACTAATTGGTTTTGTTAGAGCCTAATGTTAATTGTTCATGTAATATCTTAAAGTGTAGTTACTCTTGATTTGTACAGTGAAACCTGAATATAAAGACAGCTGAAGGGAAACATGAAAAGTGGTCTTTATAGGCAGGTGGTCTACAGTACAGGTTTCAATTAGAAACCACATTAAAGGGAAATGAAATATGACGTCTTTATAGACAGGAGATCTTTCAATACAGGTAGTCGCTAAAGCAGGTTCAACTATAGTATGTTTATTGTTCCACATTTTTCCTGTACAGTGCATAGAGAAACTCATTTGTTTATTATGTATTTTATGAAATATTTATTATCATCATTATTATTATTGCAGGGGCAAAGGAATGTCACACCTTGTATTCCTCCCTCAGATGGTTATGTGGTGCAACTCCAAGAGAAGTAGATATTAACGGGGTACGTAACTCTTCATCACGACATGGATTGAGGTCTAGACTAGTTTCAAAGAATGTCTGTGACCCCATGCAGCATTTAAAAGAATGAATGAGCATATAAAAGTTGTACATGGGAAATTACATTGGAAGTACCTTCCCAGACAATCCACTGATTTGAATGTCAACAAAATAAAAATAGAGTGCATTCGGATTTGGAAAGCTATAAAGAGAATTGGGATTAAGGTTACAGGGTAGGTACCGGTAAGCATTACGTATAGCGTATAGGTACAGGGTTGATGTTAAGAATTCTTTTTGTGCTGGATATGAACTGCAGAGCAATTGATGCTGGAGCAGGTGTCATATAGAGAGCGAAAATTAGATGAGAAAGAGAGAGAACGAAATATAGAGATATTGAGAGAGAGGGGGGGGGGGGGGGGTAGTTCATGTACCAAGATCTCATCACATATAGGTTTATAAGTATCAAGTGTCATCTCGGTGGGGGAAGTTGACCTGTTGAACCTTCTCCTCTGGGGAGGTAAACTTAACCCCCCCTCTCTCTCTCTCTCTCTGGAGATTTTCACTGGTAGTTCAAGGTCTGAATTAACATCACTATACCATTGGACGTGACAACACTATTGGAAAAACATGTTCTCGTCACATAATGTGGTTCCCTTTCAATGAGCAAAATACATGTAATAATGTTTAGCATCACTCAGCTAGATAGGAGTGATAGACAGTACATGTACTTTGTATATCTACCTTTTCAAGAAGAACTAGATGGAACTTCGACTGCGCGCAGTCGAAATGATGCCTCCGTCATAGAGCAATTTTACAAACCAAAACAGAAGAAATTGTTCAAATTCAAGTTCAATTGTAATCCATTAACAGGTTCTCAGAATATCGTGATTACAAGCAATTTCTCATATACATATATGACCCTTTGATCTTTGACCACATGACCCTAACATCTACTCAGTTCATTGGCTCTGCAAGATGTTCCGAGTTAAATAGTAATCCATCTGTCAGTTCTAATGAGAATGCGTTCACAAGCTATTTTTGCATACATAATGAGCCCATGACCTTTGACCTTTGACCTCATGACCCAAGAATCTACTCAGTTCATTGGCTCTGCAAGATACATACATGATCTAAGTTTGGGAGGAATCCAACAATCTGTTCTAATGATAATGCGATCACAAGCTATTTTTGCATGCATAATGAGCCGCATGACCTTTGACCTAGACCTCATGACCCCAAAATTTAATCAGTTCATTGGCTCTGCAAATAACATACATGACCTAAGTTTGGCAGGAATCCATCAATCGGTTCTTCAGATAACGCGATCACGAGCTGTTTCAGCATACATAATGAGCCCTGTGACCTTTGACCTTTGACCTCCTGACCCCAAAATCTAATCAGTTCATCGTCTCTGCAAGATACATACATGACCTAAGTTTGGCAGGAATCCATCAATCGGTTCTTCAGATAACGCGATCACGAGCTGTTTTTGCATACATAATGAGCCCTGTGACCTTTGACCTTTAACCTCGTGACCCCAAAATCTAATCAGTTCATCGGCTCTGCAAGATACATACATGACCAAAGTTTGGCAGGAATCCATCAATTGGTTCTTCAGATAACGCGATCACGAGAACGGGACGTACGGACGGACGGACGTACGTACGTACGGACGTACGTACGGACGGACGGACAACCCGAAAACATAATGCCTCCGGCTACTTCGTAACGGAGGCATAAAAATATAAGCCTAATTACCAGTATGCCCGAGATAATTGGAGATAATTTTGGCATGAATTACTATACCTGTCTCAACAATTGCTGGATTTCTTGGTTGCTTTTCTCCTTGTTGTTCTTTAGTCTCTGATTTTCCTCCTTTAGTTCCTCATTTTCTGCTTCAAATTCTTGAGTCAGAGTCTCCCTTTCCTCTGATAGCTTACGCATGTTTTCAACGTATAATTCAACCTGAGTAACAAAGGAATCAACTCATCATTAATCTCACATGTTCATCATTTTGACACAGCAAATGAAGGCATTCTGGGTAACTTGTGTAATTTTAAAGTGACTAACAGAAAGCCTGGTAAACTGAACTTTCAAACCTAATGTTTTGGAAGTTAGAGATTGTTAAGCAGGTTTTCTCTTCCAGGTATAATAATGATCTATGTAACTTTGTCTATCAAGTTATTTTTCAACATGAAGAGAATTAACCTACAAATGTAGTAGAAACTTGTGTTGGTGAATTAAAGCGAGCTTATATAATGGAATAAGAATTGTACAAATCAAATACAGCAAGATAAGCCAGAGAGGATAAAATGAATTGATCCTCTTCATTGCTCCCCCTCCCCCAACATTAAAGTTCAAATACAAAACAATGAACCCACTACACCCCTTGGTAAAAAGTAGAGGGGAACTAGGGCGTAGTGATACACAGGAAGACCAAACATTTAGACCAGGAGAAAAGACATGGGGGTTACAATGATTATGGTCATTCTCTTTTCCCCTCTCAGGCACAGGTGATGCAGCATATTATATCAAAGATAAATGATTATTTTACTAACTTCTTTCATTTCTTCTGCTTGTTTCTTGTGCAGTGATTGCATGCTTTGTGACCCGGCCTTGATGTCTGCTTCAGCCTGGAGGTAGAGCTTCCACAGGACATGAAGCTTCTCATCAGAGCTGGCATTCTGGCCAACACCATTCTTCAACAGCTCTGCATTCATCCCATCCATCATCATTTTAACCTAGTTGCACAAGAAAATCACCAAATTCTTTAAAATATTTTCCTTATTTGCCAAGTATGTTTGCGGTTCTATACTTCTACACTGAATAAAAATATCAGCTTCAAATGTTAATACAAATAGAAAATAATAAACAATGTGTAAACACAACTTGGAAGTTACTTCTCTTGTTTCTTTTCTCCTTATTTGCATAATACAACATAGCGGCAGTGATGTGCAGAACCATGGAAATTTATGGTACCACGCTCAAAATGAATACTGAAGCACCCCACAAACGATGCAACAAGAATCAAACTCGGGCAAAGAAACAGCTAGTGAGAGCACCAGATCTATTAAAATATCAGTCTAACCTAAAATATATTTAGCTGAACAGAAGTACTCAAAATAAAAGATCAATACGGGCACTTTGAGGGATGCTGCTCCCAAGCCCTATTAAAGGCATATACCCCATTTAAACAACTTTAGATCTCCCTGTCCTGCAGTTGATCCCTATACACATTTTTGTTAGAATCCAGCTATGGGTTTTCAAGAAAAAGAAGAAAATATGCAATTATTGGCACTGAGGACATTTGGGGGGTACATACCCCACTTGAACAACTGTAGATGTTCCTTGCCTAAGAATCATTCTGAAGTTGACTCGGATAAGATAAAACCGGCGGCAAACTTTACACAGGATTCCGCTGATAATCAGTTTGTTAATCCCCACCCGTTTCATTTGTGTTTGCCAAGCTACCCTAGCCAATAAAGATTAATTAAAAAGGAGGTAAAAAAATCAAATATTTTTACAAAAGTATTTACATGATACAAAGATACACTACATATCATCATTATAATACAAGTAAACAATAAATGCGATTGTACAGTATTCATGAGTGTAATATCAATGGGCACATCATGAGGCTACAATTAAATTAGCAGTACGATTTTAGATGTATACCGGTAGGTGAAGGTTCAAAATAGTACAGTGCAGTGTTATAGTGAATTAGACCGCAAAAAGAAGGCAGGTGAAGAGAGAGAGAGAGAGAAAGAGATGGATTGACAGTGAGAGGTAGAGAGGGAAAGAAAGAAAAAAGAGAGAGAGAGAGAGGGGGGGGGGGGGGGAGAGAGAGAGAGAGAGAGAGAGAGGTTGGGAACAAAAAGAAGGAATCAGGTGCCACATACATGTACAACAATACAAAAAAAATACAAACAAAGGAACAAATTGAGTACGTTTGAGTTTTGACAGAGTAAATACGAGAACTATGCGAAATATGAGAACTATAAGATCAGTTGCTTCCAGGTTTAGAAGGAGTAGGCCTAAAGCTTGTAACAGTCCCCTCCCCCTCCCCCATTTGTTCCATGCTTGTCCCAATCGATATTTGCTATACAGGCCCTGAATAACCCAATCAAACAGGATTATTCAAATTAGGTTACAGTAGAGTAACAACAATTTACAGTTACATACTGTTTTGGGTCAAGGGTCACATAGTCCAAAAGATTGGATGCATGATGTGCTTACTCCAGTTCTCCTAGACCAAAGTTTCTGTCTCTTTCGTTAAGGGCCTGTGATTTGGGCAGGGTCGGCTCCTTTCTTTAGAGACAGAAACCGACCATAGGTGTTCGTGTTCATGAAGGAAAAACTGTGATAACGTCATTACGAACTTGTAGCTCGGGCACAGTTTTTCCTTCATAATCATTTTGCCTTGCGCGTACATGTAGACTAGAAGGGATGAGACTTAGATGACGTCATGCGCAGCGAGAGTTTAAAAGACGGCTGTAAGATTTTCAACATGGATATCGATTTTGACCCATAATTTCCTGAAAAGGGACCATTAAACAGATTTATTCAGTCAAGTTGGTAAGTGGAACCGATTTTTAATAGCCTAGATCTAGGCCTAATTACAAAATAAAATGCATCAGATATGCATTGGGTAAAAGGTAGCATTTTGGGCAAAGAATAAGGCCATAAATTGCCATAATTTTGCAAAATGTTTGAACATGAACACCTATGGTCGGTTTCTGTCTCTAAAGAGAGGAGCCGACCTGCCCAAATCAGAGGCTAACAAACGAAAGAGACAGAAACTTCGGTCTACAGTTCTCCCAGTCTTTTTTTAAAGCACTTTTCTGATTTAGGAATCTAACTTTAATACCAGACACTATGATGCAGATTATAAATGTGTATTAAAGTGTCATTATAATTATGAATTGATAGCAATAATACAGTACGTATAGTCACTGACATAAACAGATGGATGTATCACACTATAGTATCAGTATCAGTACGAGTATCACTTAAGTATCATCATCACTCAGTCAATGCACAATAAAGCTTTAATTAATGGGCTCCAATATTATATAGTTGCACCTCAAATCATGCTCTCAGTATCCTCCTTAAAGAGTAACATAAAGTCATTAACGATTCACCATTCTCCGGCACACTGTTGCTATCGGACCGCTAGCAATCAAGAAAAGGAGAATGGGAGTGGGTAAAAAAAACGAGCGCCGACATGAGAGTGGGAGAATGTGAATGATATCGATTAATAAATAAAGATTGCGGTACCCAGGACCCAGGTTAGCCGTGCATTGACCACTAAGGCACTATTCGTTGCTGGCCTATTATTCTACCACAATACAACTCCGCCCCCTTACAAACAACACCTGAACATCATCATCTCACACACAACCCTAAACCCCGTTTCCCGCTAAAATATTTACCTTCACTCCATGATCCATGTCATATTGTCCAGCTTGAATCCTTGATAAATCGCTCTTTAAATCGAATCTGCGCGTCACCGGTAACCAACCCAGTATACCCATCGAATTTGAGTTCGTTGAGTATACGCCGTCGGCGTTATTTTTTTATGCGGCACAGATTGGGGCATGGCGCGTGTTAAACCTATGGGAAGTACGTTCTTTCCCTTCTGAATAGTGTCTGCACGTACGTGAGACTAGTCATGTTCGCTAGCGCATTAGCGCTGCGAAGAAGTTTGTATATCCATCGCGAACTATGTGTTTAGATAACATTCCTCTTTGTTTAAGTTAGTTAAGTTTTATTGACTAATTATTGTGATGTTCTCCTTATTGACGTGCTGCCTCCTCTTCAGATTTCCAATTTGATTTTAATTGTTGATGTAATGATTTTCCATGCGGTAGTGGATGTAACACTATTAAAAACAGACCTCTACTGCTTATACTGTCTAGTACGCACACGACCAGTATTAGTCTGTAAATCAAGACCCCTTTTTTAAAAAAGCCCCAATCTGTGCCGCATAAAAAAATAACGCACCCCGTCGGCGTCGAACCTACCAATTAGGGTGTCGCCGAAACGTCCAACCTAAATGGAAATTATTTCCAAATATTATGGAATTTAGTATTAGCAAAAGGCAGGGAAAAAAAGTTGAAAATGTTTACTAACAGATTTGTGGATTACGCCGCAACTCTATGACAATTAAAATGGATAGTGCAAAGTTAAACACCTCTATAGAAATGTCGCCAAAAACGTACTGCCCGGCAAAATTATATCCCCCAACTATTAGTTGGGGGGAAATGATCACTGGCGTACCTGAGGGGGGGGGGGGCAAGGGGGGCAGAGTGCCCCCCTGACGGGCTCCAGGGGGGAAAAGGAAAAGGGGGGAAGGGAAAGGAAAAAAGGAGAAAGAAAAAAAAGGGGAAAGAAAAAATAAGAAAAGAAAGGAAAGAAAAAGAAAAAAGGAAAAGGGGCGGAGAGAAAAAAAAAAGAAAAGAAAGAGAAAAAAGGAAAAGCAAAAAAAAGGAAGAAGAATAGAAAAAGAAGAAAGAGGGAAAAGAAAAGGAAAGAAAAAAAATGGGGAAATTATTTAAAAAAAGACCATGGCCGTACGCACCGGGGGGGGGGGGGGCAGTTGACCCCAGATATTTTGAAAACGTACAGTTTTTTTCCTGAAAATGTTTAACAAAGCTCACAAGTAGTGAAGGCCTATACGAAATCCCTTCAATTCTACTTTTGAAAAATGCAAAAGTACCCTCATAACCAGTTTGGTCGCTCGAACTCCCTTCACTCCTTTTGCTTTTGAGTTTCTTCAAAAACTTTTTATGCATCTTTCCCCCTCCCCCATCAGAAAAATATTCCGCATACGGCAAAGAAAAAGACAAATGAATATAGGAAAATATAAGTGATATAACAAATTTGACTCTCTTCGCTGGCGCGAGCTGCTTGCTAGCCTATTTTGTATTAATTATTTTCACTTGCTCGTCCCCCTGAAAAAAAGAAAAGCATTAGCATTGCCTAGAATACAATTGTGTCTGCCCTGACTGGACCCGACCTGCAACCATGGCAACCATAACACCCAGTTTATGTACCAAATGTTACTAAAAGAGACTAATTAATTTTTTCTCGCTCGCTACGCTCGCTCGCGAATAAATGAAATAGACATTGCTTTGAAAACAATTGTACCCATCCTTGACCTGCAACAACAAAAATGGAAGTGTTTTGTCGCCCTCTCGCTCAAAAGGAATTGATATCGTGTTAAACGCGATTACGCCCATCCCGACCTGCACCAATAAAAACAAGTTTATGTATTAATTTCTATCAAAAGAGAATTCAGTTTTTTTTGCATCGCTATTATCGCTCACCAAAATGGAAATGACATTCCTAACAAAATATTTGCGCTCCCTTGCCTGCAACGAAAATCCCAGTAAATAAGCACCGAACTTTATTTTGAGAAATATTGTTTCCTCGCTCGCCAGAATTGATGAATTGATTGATTTTTGTGATTGATATATGAGTTTGTTTTTTGTTTTACCCTCTCTTGCTACGCTGTCTTTACAATTAACATCGCTAAGAAACATGCTCACCCCAACCTACAACAAATTACCAGTTGATAATTATGTACCAGACGTTAATCAAAGAAAATTTGGTTTGCTCGCTAGCTACGCTCCCTCGCCAATATGGAATAAACATCACCTTAAACATGATTGTGTAAGCCCCGACCTGCAACAAAAAAAAACTGAAAATTATGCACCAATCATCATAAAGTTTGTTTTGCCTGCCCACCAAAATGGGATTGACATTGGCTTAAACACGATTGTACCCACCCCGACCTGCAACAAAGACACAAAGTTTATGTACCAATTCATTGAGGACAATTGAACCAAGTTTAATTGGCAATATTATTATTAAAAAAAGAAGCGATTTTTTATTCTTGCTCGCTACGCTCGCTCGCCAAAATGAAATTAACATCGCTAACGTGCCCGCCCTAACCTGCAACAACATTACTAGTTAATAATTATGTACCAAACATTATTCAAAGAAGTTTTGGTGTGCTCGCTCGCCAAAACGGAATAAACATCACCTTAGACATAATTGTGTAAGCCCTGACCTGCAACAAAAAAACCTGAAATTTATGAGCGAAAAATCATTAAAAAAAATTGGCTCGCTCGCTACGCTCGCTCGCCAAAATAGAAATAACATCGCTTTAAATAATCATGTTTCTGACATGGATCAATGAAATCAAGTTTATGTACCATGTTCTCACCGTAGAGAAGTGATTTTTTTCGCTCGCTAGCTCGTGGAATTGTGCCCACCACTGACCTGCTACAATATCATTAAAAAGAGAAATGTAGGGGGGGGGGGGGTTGCCTGCCCGCCAAAATGGGATTGAAATTGCCTTACACACGATTGTGCCCACCCCGACCTGCAACAATGAAACAAGTTTTATATCGCAATTCATTAAGAGAAAGGTGTATTTTCGCTCGCTAGCTAAAATGGGTATAAAATCACCCTAAACACAATATAAATAATTGTTTCCCGCACCCGGCATGGGACAATTGGACCAAGTTTAAGTGGCAAATATTAAAAAAGAAGGGATTTTTTTCTTGCTCGCTACGCTCGCTTGCAAAAATGAAATTAACGTGGCTAACAAATGAATGTGCCCACCCCCGAGTTGCAACAATACCGATTTATATACCAAACGTTACATAATATATTTTTTTTGCCCGCTCGCTCGCCAGAAGTGAAAATTAGCATCGCCTTTTTTGTTTTGTTTCGATCGCTTGCCCCCCCCCCCTGACGGAGTACCCCAGGTACGCCACTGGAAATGATGATGTGAAAACGGACACATGGAGGTTCGTTCGATTTCATATCCTTAGCTGATTACATTTTCAAATAGAGAAGATATTCACCTTTCTCGTGATATTGTTTGGTACTGGGAGCAAAATGCCTTCTTCTTCAGTTGCAGTACAGGCCACCGTCAGGTGTATTGTCGTACGGTTGAGGTGCAGTGCCTTGATATTACTGTTTATAGGAAATAGGGTACTTATTAGAAAGGAGAAGAGGCACGTGTCAAAGTAAAAGGGGGCACTTATCACAGATGTAAAGAGAAATTTAAGAGAAATGGAGAGGCTTCTTATTAAAAAAGGGAAAGGGACACTTATCAGAAGGAAAAGGACACTTACCAGAAAATAAAGGGGCACGTGTCAAAGTAAAATAAAAGGGCAATTATCAAAGGTGAATAGGGGCATTTCTCGCACATTAAAAGAGGTACTCACCAGAAATTAAAAAAAAGAGGGGCACTTATGAGAGAATGGAAAAGATGCACGTATTGTAAAGTAAATGGGATATTTGTTGAAGGAAAAGGGGCACTTATCAGATTTCGATAGGGGCATTTATCAGGGGTTAAAAAGGGGCAATTATTAGAAAGGAAAAGGGTCGCGTGTCAAAATACAAGGGTCGATTTTCAGTTGTGAAAAGGGGAACTTATTAGAAGAAGAAGGGGCAATTATTTTGAAGGGTAAAGGGGCACTTGTTAAAGTGGAACTTGTACCTCTCAGATTTGAATAGGGGCAATTAACATAGGTGAAGGGGGTACTCATCAGAGGTGGTAAGGGACACTTCTCGTACATGAAAAAAGGGCACTTACCAGAGATGAAAGAGGGCACTTACCAGAGATGCAAAAGGGCACGTAATGAGATGGAAAAGGGTCAAATATAAAAAAATAAGGAGCACTTATTAAATATTTATAGGGGCGTTTATCAGAAGTGAAAAGGTGCATTTCTCAAAAGGGAAAGGAGTCTTATGACGAAAAGAATGGGGCATTTATCACGAGAAAAAAGGGGTACATATCAAAATAAAAAGGGGGGGGCACTTTTTGGGTACCTGAATCTATACGTGGACAGGAGTGTTACCATTGCCGTTTTCCCATTTTTTAAATTACGGATTAAACTGTCACGCTGCCTCATAAAAAAGGAAATTACAGTGTGAAAATAATTTGTATTTATATGATGTTTATAAAAAAAAATCATATATCATACAACTAAACAATTCTTTCATAATGCATGTATCTCACAGTTGCTAAACGAGAGGGACGATTGCTTCCCTGCATGTTACAAATTACATGCACCTGCCTTTAATGATCATTTGAAGTTTTACTTGTTTAGGGAAATCGACCGCTTTCTTCAAAAGGCTTTAAATGTAACACAATGCACCGTACATAATTTTAGTGCAAGTGTCCATGGTTTTGTGCATGTACATTTACTTGCATATTGATCCTCTCCCTGTTTACTATTTCAATTGCTGTTCCAACATTGACCCAATGCCAATAAATGATGTTGGCCAATGTTGGGCTGGAGGACATTTTAACATCGGGCCAATGTCAAAATATATATGTTGGTCCAACATTGGACCGTCGCTTAGTTTTGCAAAGTTGGCCCTGCATTGGGCCATTGCAATGCCAACATTGGCCCAGTGTCAAATCTATTGATATTCGTTAATAAAGAGACATTTCAACGGTGGACAAAAGTCAGAGTTGATAATAATTATAATGATATACCATTTA